TTACATCTTGTTTTATATTTATCTATTTTTGGTGCTAGTCAGGAACTTCAGTTGAGGATATATAGTCCTTCGTTATTTTGGTTTAATATTGGATTCTATAGTGATATGGGTTTCTAACTATCCTTAATATTTTTACAGTTGTTTTTATGTTTACTCCTTTTGATAGTCAAAATTAATGGTCTTTTAGCTACCCGAGCTTGAGATGGTCCATCCTCGATTTCAGCCACAAAAATACTGAGCTCCATATTATATTAATTGTAACTATTGAATTTGGTGGGAAACCTCAAAGATTTACTGTCAATTGAGCTTTCAATTCTTCCAAAAAGTGGAATAAGCATGAATAAAATGCTAGCCATATTGGAATTGGAAGGAAGTTTAAGGTACACTTTTGGATGTGGTTTTGACTCCGATGAATCCCCTCTGAGCATTGCATTTTATAAGCCAGAGGTAGGGGCTGTCCACAAACTCAACGACTTCGAATATACCCATTTTTGGATAGGACTGAAACAGGGTAGCATTTCGGGTTCAGAGATTTTGTAAAATTTTGTTAATCATGATCGAAGGTAATAAGCCAAAATAGCATGGCCTATAGTACGGCCGGAGTCTCCGTTGGCCCGAAAGAAGTGATTTGACCTTTTTTCCGTAACTTTCTCATGTTTTAAAGGCGATATTGATGAAGACACTTTGTTAGACGACCTCTGCCATAATATCTATGGTAATCTCCAATGTTGCACTGTGAAGTTGGTGACTTCCCAGTCGTTTCGCCGGCATTGTACTTGGCATTTTTCGTCTTAATACCAAGTTTAACGTGCCAGAAACAAGGGGTGCTCATCCCTTGATCAATTAAAAGTTGTCTGATCAAAGGATGCAGTTCACTTGTCACTTTGTCCATTTGTAGATTAGCCCTAAGCTGGACAAGACGCAATGAGCCTGGCGACTATGATGCCGGCGAAAATTATTGGAATTTACCAGTTCTAGGCCCTAATGCTGGAAATTATCATGACCACTTTCGCTGAGTTTGCTTCCCCACGGTTGTTGTGGCAACACTAACGAGTTGGGGAAAGGAGACAAAAGCTTTCTGCCAAACATGCTTGCTACAGCGCTGATTCTGCTCTGTCTGAAGATGAATTACCAGCACACATTTAGTACTAGGACAATAAGAATTAGATGGGTTGCTGTTTTGTACATGTGCATACGGCTATGCTTACTCTGACAGGAGTTGGAGGAGTACACAAACGTGCAGGACCTCGCTTCTCCCAGCCCAGCCTGGAGGAGGATGTCTTCGCATCTGGCGAGGCCAAGCCTCGTGGACCCAAGCTACGGTATCAACATGGTCGGGCTTTGTCCCCCTCTTCTGCCCAACAGACCTCTGGTCTCTTCGGATCTGCCTTCATGTCATGCGTCTGGAAAACAACCCGCAGACCGACTGGACGAACCGCAGCAGGCCTGGCCGCCGGACAAGTCTGGATCGCGGAATGGGACGTCGTTTTCCGACAATCTGGCCGGTGTTGGCGACCTCAACTCGCCCAGTCCAAAGAATCTCAGAAGTCTGGTCTCCGACGCAGAGATCGGCACCACGTCGTCCGGAGGCAGCGACAACTGTCTGGAGTCCGGAGGACCGGAGGTGTACAGCTCGGATTTGAGCAATCGCGTCGAAACAGACAGCGCCGCCTCGAGTGGACTCTCGCCCGACTTTAGAAGCTCCGAAGGTGCCGCTACACCTCAGACATTACCCTCGACCTCGGTCTACTGTTCAGTCGATGAGAAGGCGGCACTTTCACGGGACGTCCTCACCCCCGGCTATGCACCAACGATGGACATGCGCGGCCTTGACGACCAATTGATGAGTCTGGTCAGAGTGATGCAAGCCTTGGCTACCAGATGTCGCGGTTTGGCACATCTAAGGCTTCAACAGCAACATCAGCAGCAACATCAGCAGCAGCAGTACATCTATCGGGAGGCTTATCAGGCGTCATGTGAACCGCTCCACGTCGCTCGGTCCGGTCTCGTCCAGACCTCGGAGGAGAAGAAGAAATGCGATGCCCGAGGCGAGAGCAGAAGAACGCCGGAAGCTGAGGAAAGCCCGGACAGTCACAAGGGCCAGGGCCCACGGCAGGAGGAGGCGCTTGTAGGGACAGGAGACGGAGGCGGATCGGAATGGGCAGAAGGGATAGACAATGTGTGCGACAATAAAACGGAGCGGCCGGTTGTGGGAGACATCCCGTCTGGACCAGGTAATGACCTTATTTTAATACTCATCGCCTCGACTCACTTTCTGTCGAAACCTAGCAGAGCTAGTCTAGCCAATGGAGGTAGGAGGAGATACTAGGTTCGCCGGATGTTATCCATGCTGTTGAACTTTGAATAGAAGCTTGAATCGAGATGGATTGTTTAAAGTGATAGATAGATATTGTAATG